CATGTGAGTGCATGGGTTCATTAGGAGGAACAAATTCCATATAGAGGAAGAAAGTCGCTTTGCACTACAAATGTGTTAGCAGTGTACTCATTCAATATGCAGTTTACATTTGTTTATGTAGGTTGGGAAGGATCAATACATGACTCTAGAGTGTTTGCAAAAGCTGTATCTCGTCCCCACTTATAATTCCCCCACCCTCCTCTAGGTAATATAATACAACCTATTTGTTGGTTTAGAAACAAGTTTAGGCATAACTAATTATATGTTTGTCTATGGTTTTATGTAGGAAAGTACTATGTTGTAGATTCTGGATTTCCCTTTGGTGATGGTTACATAACACCTTTTTCTGGAGAGTGATATCATTTAAATGATTTTAGGGGCCATCAAAGGTTTAGATTGAAGAAGGAATTATTCAATTACAAGCATTCTTTACGAAAGAATATTATAGAGAGATGTTTTAGTATATTGAAAGGGAAGTTTCCTACCTTACAAAACATGTCATCGTTTGACTTACAGATATAGTGTTACATCGTTATGGCTTGTTTCATCATATACAATTTCATTAAGAGAGAAGCTATTCACGATAAAGATATTGATGCATGGTCAAAGGAGAACATGACAGTTGGGGATGAAGGCAAAAATTATGATGATGATACGGATGATGATAGTGAACAAATGGACTTTGGAACAACTAACGTTAGAGATAACATAGCTGATAGTTGCTATGTATTTGACTTTGTTTGTTTTACATTACATGATGTTGACTTTTAAACATGGTTTTGGCATGGTTGACTTTTAGTTGACTTAGATGAAATCAACATTTTTTTTGGAATTGCATATATCATGCTATATGAGCTTGCATGAAAAAATTAATTACATTTAATCAGATAAATGTATATTTTATTAATAATTAAGTTTTAAGTATTATTTTATTAATAAAAATATTATTTTATTTTATTAATAAAATATTAAGTTCCAAATATTATTTTATTTTATTAATTATTAATGTTACTATTTTATTAATTATTAAGCTTTGAATATTTTTTTGTTAATATTAATAATTTTTTAATTATTATTAAAATATTATTAATTATTTATTTTATAATGTTAATATTATTTTATAATTATTGTTTTGAATATTACTTTTATTAATATTAATTGTTATTGATATTATTACTTATTATTAAATGTATTAACGTTGTTGTTAATATTATCAAATAGCATTAGTGTTACTATTCATTTATTATTAATATTAATATTATTATGTGTTATTTAATATTATTAAATACACTATAGAACACCCAATTTTTCAACTACACTATAGAACACCCCCTTAGTAAGTAGATTTAGAGGTTACTGACTAATCCCAATTGCATATGGATTTCAACCATGAAAAAGAAATATTTTCCTCACACTAGTGTCTTTGGAGTGAAAAAGGGCCAATCTAATGTTGCAGCAGCGACAAACTTTCGAAGTCCTCCCTCTCTCTCCCTCTCTCTCTCCCCCGATCTTTCTTCTTCCCCTTCCTCTTTCTCACCTCCCCTTTCTTCTTCCTAGAGAAAAACACAACAAATATTGAGAAGGTTTGCCGCTACAACTGTGGAGCATCCCCTTTCTTCTTAACAGACGTCTGCACTCTAAAAAATTTGAAATACCTAAAATCCTGCCTCTTAAATCTCTCCCCTTTCATCCCTCTCCTGCCTCTCCCTCTTGATCTCAAAGTCCTCTCTCTCCAACCAACGAACCGCCCCCACCTCTTAGATTTCTGCATCCTTGTGAAGGTCTGCCACTACAACCATGGAGCGTTGCATATAAAAGATCATGAAATCTTTAATCCACTCCTCTTTAATACTATTGCACTCAATAAGAAAACAAAGATAACCCAGAACCAGAAACAAGGCTCGATTATTCTCATTCTTTAGATAAGTACCCAAAAAATGTTGATTTATTAGTACCGAAGAGCGGGATGTGTACTGTCTGATTGCCAAAACAAATCCACAATTGCCTCCATGGGACTGTCTGGTTGCATACAGTTGCCCCTGTACATGCTTGACCCTCTGCCTGCCATGTGTTGGATACAAATCCTCTATAGATGGCAAACCATGGGACTGTACACGTGCTTGACCCACCATTGCATATAGTTGCCTCCATGGGATTGTCTAGTTGCCCAGAAATTGACGTGCCTGATAAAGATGGGATTGTCTCTCTCCCAACGTACAAAGGATTTGTTTCTTTAAAGAAGTACCCAAGAATGGGATGTGGACTGTCTAGTTGTTGAATCACAATGCCCCTTCCCCTTTGCTGTCGTCAATATCATCCAAAAGGAACCCGTAAATGTTGATCTATTGGTATTGAAGGTTTTTGGATGTGACAGACCAATTTGAGGTGATTGGTCTAGTTTGGATAGAGTTGGAGAAAGAATGAGAGAGGACGGTGAGGGAGGGGAAAAGAAGAGAAGAAAGGGAAAACAATAGGTTAAATAGGTTTTAAGAGAAAAAGGGCCAAAAATAGAAAATAGAAAAAGTTTAGTGGGGTATTTTGGTAAATTAACATTCTGTCATCTGACTTAACGGTCAAGGGGGTCTTTGTCTCACGGTCATAGTATAGGGGGGTCTTTGTCGCAAAACAAAGTACAGGGGGGTCTTTGTCACAGACCCCATAGTACAGGGGGGTCTTTGTAATTTACCCTAAAAAAAGAAGAAATTAATAGTTTATTATTTGAAATGTATAGTTTATATGAATCTGAAGTAACAAAGAATAAATAAAAATTCTACTTGTACAGCTACCTCTTCCACTTTTGAACTTGAGTCCAATAGTGGAAGAGAAAAACTTTTTTATTTAATAAGAGGTGGAAATTCACTACCTCGACAACAAGTTCACTTATTGAACTTAATTTTTATTTACAAACAAAATTTTCTACTTTAGGTGATTCTTCCTTCACCACGAAGGGAACAAATAATTTTGACATTTTAGCCAGGTGGAGTGAACATACAAAAAATTATTCAGCTCTCGTCGTCATGGCATGTATCTACTAACCCCTTTGGCGTCTACAGTTCCATCGGATTCTTGTTTTAGTACAGGTACTAGGGGTGCTCACGGTTCAGTTAACTGAACCATGGGGGAAATTTCTAGACCGAACTGATATGTTCAGTTTTTATATTTAATCAAACCACTACAACCGGTTAACCGTGGTTTGGTATTTTGGTTGTTTTTTGCCCTTAAAATTAAAAAAGAAAAAAGAAAAAACATAGATCGCCAGTGTCGCTGCCAAGATGCAGTAGTCTCTAACTTGTAGTCGAGCCTCTAGCAAGAGGTGAGAGAGCTAGAGAGAGACTGAGAGAGAGAGAAAGGCAAGAGAGAGAGAGAGCTCAGAAAGAGATTGAGAGGCGAGAGAGAGAGCTCAGAGAGAGACTAACGGAGAGAGAATACAAGAGAGTGAGAGTCCGAGAGAGAGAGAGAGAGGGAAAGAAAGGGATCCGTGCGGCGAGAGAGAGAGCTTAGAGAGAGATTGAGAGAGAGAGGGAGTATGAGAAAGTGAGAGAGAGAGAGAGAGGGAAAGAAAGGGATCCGTGCGGCGAGAGAGAGAGCTTAGAGAGAGATTGAGAGAGAGAGGGAGTATGAGAAAGTGAGAGAGAGAGAGAGAGGGAAAGAAAGGGATCTGTGCGGCGGGTGTGACGACTCAGACTATCAGTGTTAGATAGGCTATTCTCCAGTCTGGCAAACTGGCAAACCTGAAAGTCTTAGGCTCTTTGTTGGGCAGTTTGAACACTCTCAGACTGTCGAACGATTTTATTAGATTAAAAAAAATAAAATATAATTAATATATATAATATTATATAAAAATATATATTGGTCAGTTCGGTTAACCACTGGTTTTTTTAAATGGTTTACCAAAACCGAACCGACCGATTCAGTTAATCGACTTTTGGTTCGGTTTCCATCGGTTTTTTTGGTCGGTTCGGTTTTTCAGTTTTTGTTGCTCACCCCTAGTAGGTATTAGGGTGTTGGATGACAAGAGAAGCTATATGAATGATGAAAGCCTAGAGATGTGCATCTGCTTTAAAGATTAATTGGATGCTGAAGATAGATCACAAAACAAAGGAGGGCATGACACTACACCTGATGTTTCAAATTATTGTAAATATTGTTTTAATTTTATTTAATTTATTTGATATTTTTTAATAATGTAATTTTTATTATCAATTTGTAACTATATTGTTTTTTTTATATTTTATTAATTTATTCTATTTTCCAATTTTCTTATTTCATTCATCCAACCATTGTATGCTTTGTATCATTCAAATTTAAATGAAATAAACTTCCTATTTTCTTCCAATTTGTTATTCACTTTGAGTCTTTGTCTCTTTGTTTCTTATTTAGTTAAGTATTTTTTTTTCATTTCTTTGTTAGATTTCTTACTTTTCAAATAATTTTCAAAAGAATGTTAAATATTTTAGTTTTACTTAGCAAAGAAATAAAAATAAAAAATGTAAAAGAAAACAAAAAAAAACAGTCCGGCCCAATTCGGCCCATGTCTAAGGGCCGGCCTATGGCCCAACTTGGCACAATCCAGATCCACAACACGACCTGTAGCCCGCCCAGCCCAAGCCCCCGGCATGGCATAGCACAGGCCCGTATGGGCTTGGGCCATGGGCTGTGCTAAACTGACCCCCAAATTATCGCTGGAGAAAACACCACAGCCCAAGTCGGCCCGTGGTTTGACACTTTACACGGGCCGCAGGCACGGCACGGCCCATTTTACACCTCTAGTGGCTCCTCGTCATTTTTCCCTTGATGAATCAATGTACAAGAAAATCTTTTATCTTCGATTCATTCGCCAATTACAAACTGGAAAATGCTAAATGCTTCATGGGTAGGCCTGGACTTGAATACCAGCCCCTTTGACTTGCCCCTTGTATATTATTGAAAGGAATCGATCAGGCCAAAGGCTGGAAATCATCTGATCACTCAGGCGTGATCCATCTAATAATGGTTCCTGATCATATCTGAAATTCTGAATATACATTATACAAGCAACAGGTGGTACTTCGCGCGGGTTATGGCCCACAGGCCACAAGTACGGACCTGGCCCGAATGATAATCTTTAGAGTGGGGTTGCGGGCATTGGACGAAAGATTATGTCGAAGAGGGGAAGAGACAGCGAGAAGGAAGAATGGCTTCGATGTCGTTAGTATCTCTGCCGAGCGCAAGAATTAGTAGTCGCAGTCCTTCAGCTTCTATAACTTTTCTTACGGGCTCAAGGAGAAGCACTGCGTCTGTCAGTTTGGCGAACTCTAATACGCGTACTGGGTTGCTTCATTGCTCTTTTGTTCCTTCTTCAACTCCCTTTTCTTTCCCTTCTTCTTTCGCAGGTAAATTGTTTATATCTCTGCTCGTTCGATATAATCTCCTTTGAAGGGGAAAACCCAAATTGAGCTTAGCCATTATCATAAAGATTTAACCAGGGTTATTCTATGTATTTGTTTCTTTTAGCAGGTAATGGAGTGTTTTCAATTCATTGCTTTCTACAGGAATTAGGGATTGTTTAATGTTCTTAATGATATCTGGGTGTCATATGACCTGGGTTTCTTCCCATTTATCTAGATTCAGCTTCCAACTTGAACGTGTTATTGTTCTCAGTCACGAATTCTTATTTCTCAATTAAATCTGCTTTCTACACTATGCTTGCTTTAGTGGGTAATAAAGTGGGTATTTCATTGCTGTTTTCCAAGGAATTTGGGCCTGAAACGATCTGCATTTCTTTCCATTTAGTTATTGCTTTTAAAATTTGAAAGGATTAAAAATACAAGTTTGGACGGGATTTCATGCTCTTCATTAGCCAATAATGTTGCTGTGGTTGTTCTTCTATCTGGGCTATTTCATACCTCAGCTTACACACAACCATTCATAAATTGCAGGGCTGTCATTGGGGGTTGACTTGAATTTGAACAATGTGATGAGAAGGGAGAAGAGTAGAGGTCTCGTGGTTAGGGCGGGGAAGGCTGCTCTTTGTCAGACCAAGAGGAACAGGTCCCGGAAGTCGCTGGCTAGGACTCATGGTTTCAGAAGGCGAATGAGAATCACTAGCGGGAGAGCTGTTCTGAAACGCAGACGAGCCAAGGGAAGAAAGGTTCTCTGCCCAAAGTCTTACCCTAATAGTGGGAAGCGGGCCTGACCCATCATCCTTTGAATTGGATAAAATTCAGCAGGTTTACATAGAAAGTTCCTAGTGTGGTGATTGATGCAAACTTGGTTCTATTTTTAAGATTTTCTCTGATAGATGCAACTGTTTTCCCAAAATGGGATTTTTTTTTTCTCAATCAATTTCACCTTTTATCTCTTGTTCTTTTATTCATGTTTCTCCTTGTTAGTAATTATTGCTGGAAGCCTCTTTTTAAGAATTTTCCCACCAAACCAAGCAAATCAAGTAATGCCAGGATATTCAAACTTTAGATATTATTAACTTTTTTTCACTAGATGGGCTGCATCTTAATTAATTCAGGACCTCTGTGTATGATGTGTTTAGAATGTCTTTCTCCATTTCCATAATTTATAAATACAGAATTCATGATCACTACAATCTGTGTCTTCCATAAACAGCTTCATTTGGGCAAGCATTTTCAGGTTATTCTTTATTCCTGAATCAATTGGAAACTACCAGTCTTTCTAAAAGCTCTAATAAGAAATAACCATACTCAGGCTTATTACTTGTCATCCTTCGAAAGCTGGAAAGTCTACAGGTGTGGAAAGTTACAGGCTTCTGTTGCTGATAAACAATCAACAACAGGTGATCGTGGAATGTGTCCATTGAGTTTTTGTTGCTGGGTTGTTGATATATCATCACCACATACATATGACACCTTATACAGTAAAACTAGAAAACTAATATTAAGAAGGGATTGCATCTGGCATGCTTTCAGAGGATCAACTCTGATGATTCTTGTAATTTTAAGAGTCGTTTTTAAGCTTTGGATGTATAAAAATGGCTCCAATTAATTCTTTTTTGGGGCTCAAAACTTATTCTAAGAGTTGATTCTTTGGAGCTAAAATAAAGTCATTTTTGACTCAAAAGTCATTCTTCAAACAGTATTCTTTAGAGCAGAATTTCAACCAGAGAATTAACTGCCATGCATTTCCATTATCCAATAACTAACAAATCTGTACAAAGTAGCAAAACTAATAATAGTAACAAAGCTGGTTTACTTACCAAAAAAAAAAAGGAAAAAAAAAAACTAAAAAGGATGACTGACTTTCTAGATGTTTTATGCAGTTGGATAGGAGGCATCTGTGGCAATACCACAAAGTCCACCTTGGTAAGGCACATCTCGCTGCATTCTCATGTATCCATCCTCTCCCCATCCTGAGCCCCATGAGTTCTTGACAATCCAATACTTCATCCCATCCTTACATATACCATAACCAACTACAGTAATAGCATGATCTGTGTTACTGCCACACTGCCCAGTGAAGATGCCGCTAGAGTAGAACTGGAAGGCCTTCCCACTGGCCTCCACGACAGCCGAAACTGGTTGCTGGGCAACAGCTTTCATTAGTGCATTCTCATCATTGAATTCTACTAGTCCATAACCATTGATTCTGGCTACATGGTTTGCTTCCTTTGTCATCTCACAATATTCGTCATGCCCCAAGTAAGGGTAGTTGGCTTCAGTCGTGATGCCTTCATTCGCTATGATGTATTCAAAGGCATCTTCCATGAAACCACCGTCGCATCCATGGTTATCATAGTCATCATATTCAGAGTCACAGTCCACTAGTTGTTGCTCCGATAATGAGATCAGATTACCTGTTTTGATCTTAGTAATCCCTTCCACTGCTGCCACTGCCGAGAAAGCCCAACAACTTCCTGCATTTTGAGATTACAATCAACTGTATAGCTGTAAATCTTGAATCCAATTCACTAGAGATGGAAGATGGTGTCTGTTAATTATCACTTACCACAGTTTTGTTGGTCCTTAACAGGAGTCACTGCTCCCATCTCTCTCCAGTCCACACTGGATGGCAAGTCAGTCAGGTTTTCATGCGTGAACGATCTTGCAGCTAACGGCCTTGATTTGGAGGATGGCTTGTACCCTTTGCTAGTGGATGTGAATTCTTCGTTAGTTAAGTCTGCAAATTTGTTGAGATTTAACTTGTAGGACTGGTTTCTGATGCTGTTGAACGATTCAATGAAGTTGAGATTATCCCGGAATATCTTGAAACGCTTCTCCTTCTCAGCAACATTGTTGTATACGCGACCATGGTTATTCACCCATTCTTCATACTTCTTGGCGATGGATGTCTCTTGCAGCCGGCGGGAGGTCGCTTGAGGAGCCCAAACACTAAGGATGAATAAAGTCACACAGAGAGATCGACATTGGCAAGCTGAAGCCATGATTGTTTGTTTAATTTCTGAGAGCACAGCAGTGTAATGTTATGGAGAAGTGAAAATAGTGGCTAAGCACACTTGAAGCCCTCGGTAAGTTAAGCTTTTATAGGTAGGAGGGAGACTTGTTTATCTGCTCATCAGAGTGGTGGAGTAGCGGGAAAGGAGTGGGCATTTGGTTGTAAACAGAATCTGGGTTGATGCTTCTGTTTTGTAGCAGCAACTTTTACTTCTGAATCCTCGGCAGCAGAACCGGATTCGGCTTTGAACAGAACGGAATCCTAAATGTAGGATTTCCAGGTTTCAAACTTGGCTTGAACATCGAAGGGTCATGCATGAAAACCGTTGTATTGGGATCTTTTTTTATCTTTGGTCATACGATCTACGGTTCTAGCTGTGGGGTCTCAGCACATCCCATCAATCGTATAGATTAGGAGTTGTAATCTAACGGTGTTAGGCGAAGGAGGACAGCATACCCATCCAGAGCTTCTACACTTGGACTCTGAAGATCCCTACATCTATCCACATGAGTGGAATTCCACTTTTCTCCCTAGATTATTACCCATTCTGATTTTCTAGAGATCTTAAATCCCTGAAACTCTGTTGGTCTGTTTATCTGTTCTTTGACCTCTTTCTACGTTCAGGAAGATTTCTAATGGGCTAATCTCTCTTTCATATTCATTGTCTGCCGAATCGATGCTTAATATATCATTTTATCATGCTGATTTCTAATGGGCTAGACTCGGATCAAATATCGTCATATCTAAATTTGATCAATTAATATTTGGATTCCAATCAAACCTTATCCATTGATGAGTTCATAATTCATGCTAATTAAAAATGATCAAAAGATTATATATTATCAATAAGATGAACCAGCTTAGAACTTGGAAGACGACTTACATGAAACTTGAACCTTAGATTCGTGCAGCATTAAACCAAGGTTCAAAGCACAATACTAATAAATCCCACAAATACATTGGGGAATTCTTACAAATCCCACAAATACATCAATAATAATAAATCAAAATTGAAATAATTATAAACAAATGAGAAGTGTAATCTTTCATGATTTATATGAAAATACATTACAATCAACAATATATATACCATCTTATAGCTCTTTCTTACCATCAAAATCATTTAGAATATATAAAATAAATGATTTTTCATTTTTTAAAGTTCACCACCGATAAACCTAGTTATACTAAAAAACTATATTTGTTTATGTTTTATTAATAGGAAGTGTTAGAAAGTTAGAGGTGTTAGACAGTATATGCCCTTAACTCCAATTAGATTGATGTACATATACATTTATTGTAAATGAATAAAAGTATATTATTATTTCATGTTGACATTGGTATATTTCTGTGAATTTACCCTTTAAATTGGACACTTATGAAATTCGTGTTAATTTAGAATGTTCTCAGCCGTTGGATAGACTTGGGGAGTTTATCCTGCAAAGACTGACACTAATGTGTTGCTAAAGAAGTTGGGACAGCTTATCTCAGCTGCTAGGGTTAGACCCGAAGCACATGTAGTGTGTGTTTGGTTGAAACACTGAATCTGGACCATTTTCCAGTTATACCCTAGACCTTGGGGATTGATGGATAAAACTGGAAAATTTACACATAACCCCTAGACTTGATTATAGTACTACACTGGGTGTCAAATTGGATTGTCTTTGATATGCCAATTAGTGAGATCCATTATGGGTCAAAACCTAGGTATGTTGGGGCAGTTAGAGAATTCACTTAAATGGTTGATCATAGTGATAGGATTGGCCCCTTTGCTGGACAAAGTAAATGATCGGGACTGTACTCTTTCTTATGGAAACCTATACTGCCAGCAGTAGATTTCAACCATGTTTGAGATTTTGTTTTGCAACATATACTTATATATATATATATATATATATATATATATATATATGTGTGTGTGTGTGTGTGTGTGTGTGTGTGTGTGTTTTAAGAAAAGTGTTTGCAAAAGGTTTTAATTCTAGATCTGAGCAGAGAATGTGACACTATACCTTGCAGTCAAGGGAGATGTCATTCTCTGTCAAGCAGTGTTTGATCGTTGAGGGCTGAGATGCTAAGTGTATTAAGGGTTGATTACTTGATGAATTTTATCTTACTTAAGTCCATTATCCTTGGGTCTTCATAGGATGACTAAATTCAAGGATTATTTAATTGTAAATGTTGGGCCCATTTTGAGCCCAGAGTGATGAATTCAGGGGTTCACTGCGTTTGGTAATTAATTCGGCCAAGCTTTTTCACATAAGCTAGGCCTAACCCATGTGAGCTTATGTAAGGTCATTGTGGGCTCCCACGCCATACAAATCAAACATAAATTGGCCAAGCAACACTCTTGGGTCGTGAGCCGTATAACTAATGGGCCTAAGCCCATAATTAATATAATCAATTAAGATGTCACATGACCACTTAAGCTGTCATGTGACATGGGCAAATCTAGGTTTGGAAATGGGTATGGAGCACCCATTCTCTTAAGAGGATAAGACCTATCTCTTGATAGAGTCTAGATCCAAATAAGGATTTGAATAATCTCCTAATTTGAATAGGAGTAGTGTTCCACAAAATGATAAAAGAAGACAAGGGTGAACTACTCAAGAATACTGCAAATTCTACTATCTCTCTTCTTCTCTTGTTACGCAAGAAACCCTAGTTCGTCTTCAACTTTTGGGACTGATAAAGATTAGTTCTTTCTTTGATTTTTGCAAGAAAAATTCGGAGAAAATTCGTTCTCACCTCCCAAATTCGATCAAAGCAGTTGGATTGCAATTTTGCTGAAAATTGCGTTGCTGAACCGGCTTCAACATCAAGCTGTGTCATATTCAGTGGAAGTTGATTTTAGGGACTGATTTGGGGGTGAACTTCCACCTTGGGAGCTATACTTGTGGTATCCGTATCAGGTATACATCTCCCTCTTATTTTGGTTTCAAATCCGATTCGGTTTCAATGCACGATCTTAGAAAAATGCAGTTTTTTGAAAATCAAGGAATTCAATTCCTTGAAGGTTAAGAAAATTTTTGAAATTTCACCCAGCCATGTAGCATGGTTCAGCCATCCAGATGGTGGATCCTGACCTTCCTTCAAAAAGAGAGAAGAAAGATTTGGAGTCATAAATGTAGGCTAGCGGCACCAGCTTATGTATTACTAGGGTGACCCAAGACAAGAAAAAAATAAAGAGAAAAAATACAAATGCACCCCTACTGCAGCACTAAAGAATAAACATATACTAGTTTTTAGCAGTTTATTTCAATAGTAACTTAAAATTTAAATTTTGATCATATAACCTTAATAAAAATGATAGTAACATATTAAATTAGTCATATTTTAATAGATTAAATAATTTTAACTAATATTATCTATCAAATGCATCATTCCAAACATAAAGTATGATTAAAATTATAAAAAAGTTCAAAACATTATGTAGTTAATAAAATAATTAATTCGAGACAAGAAAGAATCAGAACTGACCCAATTATTAATTAAGACAAAATTATGAAACGAGAACCAACATAAACGGTTCAATTTGGGCAGTTGGTGACCCATTGACAATTGTACATAGATCATATCATTTTCAATACATTCTATGTGTCCACACATCTGGATATTAATACTATAAGTCTTGTATTAGGCGTATTATATCAATATTTTAAAACCTTGCATTAAACTAGACACCCACTTGATCAAAAGCGATCAAAACAACAGAGGCCAGATTTTTAAGTTTTCCAACTAAGAAAACTATATAGATTGGGAGGTTACCTTAGCATAGGAATGTAGCTTGTACCTCGAGTTTTAAGTTTCCCGTTTTGGAGGACTAAGCTGTTTTTATTCACACAACTGGTTTAGCGCAAGAAGGCATAGAATCTTGGCAAGCCACTCCAGGTAATCTCTTAAAAAGATTGAAGCAGAAAGCCCTTCAACTAATTGACAGATGGCCTTGAGTGATCTCTCCAAAGTTTTAACTAAACATAATTTATAGGCTCTGTGTGGGTCCCACACAGGACAGCAAAGAGGGTGATCATGGTTGGAGACAGTGGGCGTTCAGTTCACAAAGTAAACGTGCAATGTGGACTATTTTATTAATCCCACCAATTTTGCGTGGCTGAATTAAATGACTTATTAGATATTACGGTAAGGCCTATGGTTCAAAGTATCAATACGCTTTTGCGTATTAGTAGACACGTATCGGTACTTGGATACACACGGAATTAACTTTTTCTTTTAGTGTTTTTTTTTTCAAATTTTGGATTTTGGGAGTTAAAAAAGGGTGGGATCCTGAAACATCTGAACCCAAAAGATACGATATAATACACCCAATACGGGGTGTATCATATCGATTTTTTGAACCTTGGTAAGGCCCCGATTTTCCACACATCCAGCTGTTTACAGCGAAGAGAAGGCAACGACCCAACTCTTTGCTGATTGGGTGATTGCCTGGCAGGCCATGAAAAATGCCAATGCTATTCCATTTCTTGCGATATAGCTAGGGGCATTTTAGAGGGCAACAAGATTCCCTACAAGCAAATATTTTGCACAAACTCTAAAATAATGGAAATCCAGTAGCGCATGGGAATAATATCTACCAATGAATTTAACATATATTAATAGAAAAATGGGAAAATCTATGATACGGAAAAGATATGGTATGAAAAGAGTTTTGACCAATCAAAACTCATCCATGAATTTTGATAAATAGGGAAAATCTATGATAAAGAAAAGATATGATATGGAAAGAGTTTTGATCAATCAAAATCCACCCATGAATTTTGATAAATAACAACTGATTCGCTGCTATGTTTATGACTCCAGTTTATTGGTCAATTGTTTTTTCTAATATCATATCTTTTCCATATCATAGTGGAACCCTAGAAAAATATTCCCAATATGCAGAAAGCTGTGTATAGAGTTTTTACTTGCAGAAGATCTGAACTGAACTCTTTTATAAGCAATGGGATTCTCTGAAAGCAAAAATTCTCCACACAATATAAAAGCATGAGAATTTAACCGCACAATGTAGCTGAATGATAAACGAGTAGAGTTTTTAATTGCAGGAGATCTATAACTCATTTTACGGTACAACAAACTGCGTGCTGATTTTTGCTATGCACTGCGGCTCTGCCTGAAACAACAAATGTTCATGGAATTGCTTCAGATAAGAAGAGACAACATTATCATCATTCAGCCAAACAAATGCTGATTCTTCACTCTGTTCATATGGGCAGAGGTATAGGATGAGGGAACAAGATTTCTGCTGCCCAATGTTCTATCAACAACAAATGATGATGATGATGATGATGATGCCTATACTAACACCAAATCAGCTTCACGACCTTGCATTAATCGATTCAATTCCATAAATATTAGACAAAAAATACAAAATGATAAGTGTCTTGATAAACAAGAATTTCTTGTTCCTCTCAAATGCAGTGGGGCGCATTGTTCTCATCAAAATCATAAATTCACTTTTAAAAATAAGGGTGAAATACAAAATCCTCCCCTAAAATTTCTGACAATCATTAAAACCTCCCCTATAGTTCCGTTTTAACAAATACCTCTCCTGAACTTTTGAAAATTTTGACAAAAACCTCCCTTCCGTCACCTTCCCAGATGGAAAATGTTAGGTAGATGCACCAATTTTTTCCAAATACCCATTCTACCCTTTCATAAACTATTTTACATGCAAA